CTGACATACTTTGGACATGTTGTAAGGAAAGACAGGTCCTTGGAGAGGAACATCAGCACAGGAGGGGACATCATGCTGGGTAGAGTAGAGGGACAGCGCAGGAGGGGAAGACCCTCTCTGAGGTGGATTCATTCAGTGAGTGGGGTAATCGGGATGGGTGTGTCAGAGGCAAAGCGATTGGCACAGGATAGAGCAGGGTTTAGAGCTGTTGTACATAGGGTCGCTTTGAGTCTCAAACAACTTGATGGCACATAACTACAACAACAACAGTGTATCTTGACTACTCCTACCATGAAAAATCTGTGACAATCAGACTAATTCTTCCTTAACTTTGGGCCCTTTCAAAGAACTTTTCTAAATTCTTTACTCATCATCCAATATCTTTTCTCCAATTGCAAGAAGCAAGTTATCTAATGAATCTTTAAAACACATACTCCTGTGCTTTGGACCACAGCCTCTCACAGCAACTATAGGATATTGCCTCATCAATCACTTTCTCTTTTCTCCTTTGTGCTCCTACCTACTCCTTTTGCTCAGTGTGACATGGAGTCATTATGAGTCTAAAATCTCGACACCACCTAGTAAAAACAACAATACATATAATTTACTTTCTCTTTATAAACTAAAGAATGTGGGTAATTACAGCCTTTGTGTTTAAGAGTTAAATAGGAATATGAAGTGTTTAACATAGTGCTTGATAAGTTAGCCAGTCACCAAGGTTCCTGATGATGCCATCACTAATGAGGAGAATGTGGGAATTTACTGCATCTCACTTTTCTCATGGTGGGGCTTGATCTGCAAGTTTCTGCCTAGTTCTTTGTAGAAAAATCTTTCTTTAAAGTGTTTTATGTTTTGGGCAGATTAATATTAACAATATCCTGTTATTCCTTGATATGTCATATTTGTAGACTTGAAAGAGTAGATAATTAATTAGGTGATCATAACCTTACACCTTGAAGAAAAACAATTTCAGACTTTAGAGCATGATTTGTTAGTGAGTTTAACTTCCTAATAAAGTGTGAAGAACAACTTAACATCACTAATCACTGTCACACTGTCTATATAAGAGCTAAGATTTGAAGTAGAGAAGGAAGTTCTGAGGAAGATGTTTAGAAGCATTACAAGTGGGAGTAAATATATCTCTTGGAATTAAACTTGTGGGAAAATGAAACTTTTTGCTCAAAGTTGTTGTGTACCTTGAGTTGATTTTAACACATAGTGAACTATTTTTTTTTATGTGTTGCTAAGTTGAGTATGATTCATAGCAACCCTGTAAACAGCAGATCTGAACTCTTTCTTATCCTGTATCATCTTCATCATCTCTGATATTCTTGAGCCCATTGCTACAGTGAATGTCAATCCACCTTGTTATATTGTTGTTGTTGTGTAGCGTAGAATTTGAACTGACCCATAGCTGTCCCTCCAGACAGGTTTCCAGAAACAGTAAGTTACATGGGATTTGATTACCCATTTACCCCCAGCACAGCAGCTGGTAGCTTTGAACCATAAACCTTTGTGTTGGTAGCACAATTCCTTAACATTCAGCCAGAGGTCCCCATACGACTGATTAAGCCTGCCTCATAGAGTTTCTTGGGCTGTAATCTTTACAGGTCCTGATTCGATCAATGAGGACTTTGTGGGCAGACTTTTTTTTTTAATTGTTGATGTTGTGTACCGTCAAATCTGATCTGACTGGCACAGGAGGAGATTGCCTCTACTTCTCCAGCAGAGCATCTGGTGGATTTGAACTGCAAAACTTTGAGATGGAAGTGCAGCTTCTTGTCACTAGACCACCAGGGCTCCCTCAAGGACCTTTTTATTTAAAACTCGATTGGGTCCTGCCTAAGAGTCTCCATTTTTGGAACATCTTGTGTGAAGCAGTTGGTTTCTGGAGGGTAGTTTGTTTTGATTTAATTGATATTGTGTTTCGGGAGAACATTGTTCTACATGGTACAGCCCTTGTCTGTTGGTTTGGTGTGCTGATATAAGTTGGGGTTGTTGCTGTGATACTGAAAACTGTGGCTTGGCAGGTCAAATGCCATCAAAGTAAACTATGTTGGACAGGTTTTGGTGGAGCTCCTTAATTAAGACAGACTAGGAAGTAGGATTGGCCGTCTACTTCTTAAATAACAGGCCTTTGAAAACCCTATGAATAATAAAGGAAAGAGGATAGTTATAGTAGTGTAGTAGTAAAACCCAGAATGGAAGTCAGCTGAAATGGGGAAAAACAATATTGCTTGGAGAGGAACATGATGCTAGGAAGAGTAGACGATTGGCAAAGGAGAGAAAGACCTTCAGCCAGGTGAATTGACACGGTGAGAGCTGTACTGGGCTCTTGTGTGACAGGAAGTGTGAGGATGACACAGGAAAGAACAAGGTTCAGATCTTTTGTTCGTAGGGTTGTTATGAGTCATACTCAGTTCGACAGCACCTATCAACAACAACAGTAATCTTTACAAGGAGATTGCCTCATCTTTGTCCTGCTGAGCACTTAACCATTTCACCACCATGACTGCATTTTTTGCTAATATAAGCCCTTTTGACGTACAGTTTGTTGTTATGTACTGTCAAGTCAGAACTGACTCATAGGTGACCCTCTAGCAGGTTTTCAGAGGCTGTAAACTGCATAGGAGATGACTTACCAGCTTTCATCTGTGGAACCACATGCCTTTGTGTTGGCATCACAACTTCTTACCCACTGGGCCATCAGCTCAAGGATATATTCAGTATTTAACAATACCATTTTCATCATAAAAACCATTCATGAGTACTTGTTAAAAATCTAGGGGTTTCAGGTATTGATTGCATTTGATTCCTGACAGAAAATGGGTAGGGTGAGAAGAATGAAAATGAAACACTTTCTGGAATGGCCCTCAGGTCATTTTCCATTCTACATCCTGAATTTTGCTTTTTTAAAAGAAATAAGAAAATTATAATTCCTTTCACTATTCATTCCACAGTTTATGCTAATACTTAGTTTTTTACATTGCAGTTATCTTTTAATATGGAAGAAGATGAACTCTTTGGAGAAAAAGCATTCCAGTATTTTTGTGCAGAATTCATTAAACATTCACAGCAGATAGGTGATGGTTGGGAATGGAAAACTTCGAAGGTAAGGACTAAAGTGTTTTATCTTTGCTGAAATGGAGGTTATGTTGGGTTTTTCCCCTATAAAGCCTCAGTAATTGAAACTAATATATGAAGGCTAGTTTGATTTAGTAAAAGGCTTAAATTGGAGAGTGTTTCAAAACAGATGTCCATTTTATTACCTCAGCTATATATACTCATTGTAATTAGACTAATGAAGTATTATCTAGCAAAGTCCTTAGGTGACCTGCTTTAATTTAATAGATAAGAATGTTTAGCATATTAATTATCTGAATGTAAACAGATGCTTCTGTGGTGCTTTAAGCCATTTGTTTACACTATTAATTTTCTTAGGAAACGACTTTGTCCAGAGAGTGAAAAGATAGTCCTGAAGCCAAGTAGTAGTCAAAAAATTACAAATTCTGAAATACTTAGGACAGTGTAATTGAGAATTTCTTAATAATAGAAACATGACTCAAAATACTTTTCTTTTGATTTTACTCAGTGATAATAATGTAAAAAAGCCTGTATTTTGCTTCCACATAGCAATTAGTAAGGTTCTGTGGCACAAGCTTTTTAAGAGTTGCTGTCCCTTTCTGAAATAACTTTGTTTTCTCTACTTGATATTTTATCTGCTTCTTGAAAGAGTGATGAATCCCAATTCTCTGCTGATTGGTTCTGTTTCCTAAATGCACTCAGAAATTTCAGTGGTTCTGACCTGATTCCTATGATTCAGAACTAGGCCAGGAAGACACAAGTTTTGATCAAGTTCAGTGTCACTGGGGAGAGAAGACATGATGACTTACTCTTAGAGGTTTATCTTTTGGTTATTTAGACAGAGTGCTGCATGGGGTGTTTCAGAGATTCTGGTTTAGTATAATGTGATTTATTAGCACCTTTTATTAAGTTTATTTCTGGATATTTTACAATTTTTAGTATTCTTGGAATTTCTATGTATCCTATTTCCTTAACATGCTAATATATAAAAGAATGACAAATATCTATATATTTGTTGTATAACTAACTATTCAGCTACCTTACTGAATTTTCCTATTAATTTTCAAAGCTTTTCAATAGCTTTTCTTGAGTCTTATAGGTAATGATATCTAAAGATGAGTTTTTATACATTGTCTTCTTTGCAATATTATTGTATGCATCAACTAGAAAATGTCAAGGCTTTCTTGGTTGGCACAAATGGTCATAGGCTCATCTACTACCTGAAGACTTGGTAGTTTGAACTCATCCAGAAGTACCTTTAACGACTTGCATGTCAGTGTGCTTTTAAAAGCTCACAGCCTTGAAAACCTTATGGAACAATTCTGGGATGAACACATAGCCTTTCCAACAATTAGAGTTAACTTGGGTTTAACTAACAACAACAGAAAATATCAAGTAACCTGTTACAAGTGGTCTCTTAATCTTGAGCCTGATTTTAAAATTCATGCACTGGGCATCTTATTGGACTTTGACTTGATTCTGACTCATGTGGACCTTATGGAATTACTCCATAGAGTTTCTGAGACTGTAAATGTTTACAGATGCACACTGCCACATTTGCCTCCCCTAAATTGACTGGTGGGTTTAAGCTGCTGATATTTCTGTTAGTAATCAAAAGCTTTAACCACGATGTCACTCTAGCTCCTTCCATTAGTCGTACAATGACCTATAATTATTTATGTGGTTATTATAAGTCTTAAAATGTCATATTGCTTCCTTAATAGCTTTGAACTTCTTAGGGACCCAAAGACTTAACCATGAGTCTTTTGTTTGTTTCAGATATGTCCCCTAAACTCTGGAAAGGATCCATACCTAGATAGCTTCCTTATTAGAACCTTAACATATGCCCAGTGCTGTCTATTCAAATCTACTGTTTAGTGACCCTCCACTGGGTTTTCCAGGCTGTCAATCCTTATAGAAGGAGACTGTACACCTTTCTTTTCAGGAGCAGCTAGTGAATTTGAACCACTGACCTTACAATTGGCCTTGTTGGACATTACATCGTCAGAACTTTGAAAGGTTTGAAATGTTGGGTTTAGTTAAAGAACAGAAAGAGTTATCTTGCCTAGACTCTAAAACATAGGGTTTTCAGAGACCTGCTATTTTGGAAGTGGATGGCCAGTCCTTCTTCCTGCTCTGTCCTAATCTGAATGCTCAGATTTAGAGAAGTTTATGACAGACAATCATTTTATTCATCTCTTGATTTCCTGGCTGCTATTACCAAGAGTGTTGACCGTGGAACCAAGTAAACTAAAACTGTTAGCTATCTCAATCTCTTCACCATCCTTACTGATGCTGCCAATTGGCCCAGTGGTTAGAATCTTTGTTTTCTTTATGTTGAGCTTCAGTCTATATAGGAGACTCTAGTCCTTGATCTTCTGCAGCAAGCGCTTCAGTTCCTCCTCAGTTTCAAGCAGAGTTGTGTCATCTGCATGACACAGGAAGTTGTTGATTCTTCCACCATTCCTGAGGCCACATTCCTCTTCGTATAGCCCAGCATCTCGGATGATCTGTTCTGCATACAGATTGAAAAGGTATGGAGACAGAATACATCCCTGACGGAACCCCTTCTTTATTTTGAACCATGTAGTGTCTCCTTGCTCTATTCTGACAACTGCCTCTTGGTCCGAGTATAAATTTCGCATTAGCACAATCAAATGTTCTGGGATTCCCATTCTTTTGAGAGTCAGCCACAGCTTACTGTGATCCACACAGTCAAAAGCCTTTGCATAGTCAATGAAGCACAGATACACATCCTTCTGGTATTCTTTGCTCTCTCCTAAGATCCATCTAACATTAGCTATAATATCCCTAGTACCACGACCTCTTCTAAATCCAGCCTGCACATCTGGCAGTTCTCTGTTGACATATTGTTCCAAATGTTTTTGGATAATTTTCAGCAGAATCTTGCTTGTATGTGATATCGATGATATTGTTCAATAATTTCCACACTCTGTTGGGTCACCTTTCTTTGGGATGGGAACAAATATCGATCTTTTCCAGTCAGTGGGCCAGCTGGCTGTTCTCCAGATTTCTTGGCACAACAGGAAATCAAGAGACGAATTGCATTGGGAAAGTTGGCTGTGAGGGACCTCTCAAGACTACTGAAGAGCAACGATGTCAGACTGGAGACTAAGGTGAGCCTGATCCAGGCTATAGTCTTCACAATTATGTACTATGCATCACAGAGTTGGACAGTGACTAGGGTTGATAGAAAGAAAATTGATGCCTTTGATCTGTGATGCTAGAGAAGAGTGTTGAATATACCGTGGACTGCTAGGAGAACAAACAGGTTTGTCCTGGAGAGGGTGATGCCAGAATGTTCTCTGGAGTCAAGGATTCTGAAGCTTCATCTGACATATTTTGGGCATGTTGCAAGGAGGGACTGGTCCTTGGAGAGAGACATCAAGCTTGGCAGAGTGGAGGGGCGGCGAAGGAGAGGAAGACATTTGATGAGATGGATTGATTCTGTGACTGGAGAGGTGGGAATAAGTGCATTTGAGATGGCTAGGTTGGCACAGGATAGAAGAGTGTATAGAGCGTTTGTACATAGGGACTCCATGAGTCACAAGCGACTCAATGGCACATAGCAGCAGCAACAACAATCATTTTATGGAAAAAAGCAGATGAAAGATCTTTCTCCAGTTGTTGAATAATTAACCGATAATTTCTGTGTTATCCCACCCTTGACACAGTGTCTTGACCCACTTATTCCCTGCTCCACCATCTGCCAGCATCTCCTTCCACTCCCACTCACTCTGTTCAACACGCATGATCTAATAGCTTATATCTCAAGTTTTATGGGTTTCTGTGATTCCAAACATTTCAGCTGCTGACAATTTCTTATACTGTGGCCAATGTATCTTGAGTTTAGGGGTAATGTTTCCCAAGCAAGGGTAATGTGTCCTGTAGATTTGGTATATTGATTGTTTTCCTGGCTCAAGGGCTGCAGGCTGAGTCTGAGAAGAATAGGAATCTCAGAACACTTGATTGTGCTAATGCAAAACCTTTACTTGAACCAGGAGGCAGTTGTCGGAACAGAGCAAGGAAACACTGCATGGTTCATAATTGGGAAGGGTGTACATCAGGGATGTGTCCTATCTCTATACCTTTTCAACCTATATGCAGAACAGATTATCCGGGAGATTGGGCTGTATGAGGAGAAGTGAGGTGTCAGGATTGGTGGAAGATCCATCAACAATATGCATTATGCAGATGACACAGCCCTGCTAGCTGAAACTGAGGAGGACCTGAAACACTTGCTGCAGAAGGTCAAGGACTACAACGTTCAATATGGAGTGAGGGTCAATATCAAGAAGACAAAGATTCTCACTACTGGGCCAATTGACAGTATCAGGATGGATGGTGAAGAGATTGAGATTGTTCACAGCTTTAGTTTGCTTGGCTCCACAGTCAACATACTTGGCAACAGCAGCCAGAAAATTAAAAGATGTATTGCAATGGGAAAGTCTGCTGTTAGGGACCTGTCCAAAGTACTGAAGAGCAGTGGTATCACTCTGGACACTTATGGTGTGCCTGATACAGGCCATGGTCTTTGGAAGACAGAAGGAGAATTGATGCCTTTGAGTTGTGGTGTTGGAGAAGAGTATTGAATATACCATTACTGGCTAAGAAAATGAACAGGTTCATTCTAGAGAGGGTTAAACCAGGCTGCTCCTTGGAGGCAAGGATGCTGAAGCTTCATCTGACATACTTTGGACATGTTGCAAGGAGGGACCAGTCCTTGGAGATGTTCGTCATGCTTGGGAGGGTGGAGGGACAGTGCAGGAGAGGAAGACCCTCTCTGAGGAGGATTGATTCAGTGGGATAACTGGGGTAGCTGTGTCAGAGACAGTGAGATTGGCTGAGATTGGCACAGGATAGAGCAGGGTTTAGGGCTGTTGTACATAGGGTTGCTATGAGTCACAGGTGACTCGACAGCACTTAACAACAACAACATGACTCTAAAAAGCAGGTAAGCCCACTGAAAAATACTGATTTAGAAGTTTTCACATTTTTCTGCTTAGT